AATAGATTCAGCTCCCACAATAAAAAAAGAAAGGGGGGAGGAAGAAGGGCTGTTTTTTAACTTTCACACGGTTGTGAAACTTAAGAAATGCTTTGAAAAATGAGAAAGTCAGGAGTAAATACAAAAAAAAATTGGGGGACCCTTAAGCATCGTCTTTAAGAGTTGAACGCGATAGTGAAATCCGGCCCCTAGTGCGCCGTTCAACAGCCAAGTGTATATACTTATTAATATGTTTTGTTACGAGCACGCGCGCGCAAATGGTACGCACATATTTTTGATCTAGAGCTAATGTCACATGGTCTCCAAGATACACGCCGCGCGCTTGCCATCTAAGAGGCCTTGAAGAGTCTCACGATGTCTCACAAATGGTAGCACATTATCCATATTTTGCTGTTTGCTTGATCAACGCCTCTGAAAAGGTTTTCCGCTGAATGGACATAGTTGTAAATTTTTAGATCTGTTCCTGTGCGTTTTAGTAATGATGGCTGCACTATCCCGGCCTTTTTCGACGTAGTTCGATGGCCTCCCAAATGCGCCTACAAATCGCCGAATGGGCTCGTTTTCGTCGTGACACCTGTCGAAAAAAATGTGTTAAGGAGACTCCTTCGAGTACATGGCACTTATGTAGTGTTTTGTTTTCCCAAAGCAGCTGCAAGTAACATTGTGGCTCTGTGGTAAGACAGCTGCTTGCCATGAGAACGGCCCGAGTTCGATTCTCAATGGGACCGAAAACTTTATTCTTTGTATTATTTGCTTCTTTCTCGATTTTTCGCTCACGGACGATTTTTCGCTCACAACCAATAGAGCCGATGGCGGAACTTCTGCGACACGAGCTCTCCAACGCTATCGCGTTAATAAAATATCCGGGTTTTACGTCTAGAAACCATGACACGAGTGTGAGAGACGATGTAGTGGAGGGCTACGGAAATTTCGACTATTTGGTGGTCTCTAACACGTGATGACTTCGCATAACACACGGCCCTCTACCGTTTCAACTCCATCGAAATGGGACCACCGTGGCCGAAATCAAACCTGCGACGTTCGGACCAGGAGCCGAGCTCTGTAGCAACTGATCCACTCTGGCGTACAAGCGAAGAGTAACTAAGATGTTTGGCATTGAAGCTGACAATAAACAAAAAAAAACATTAATATGTGAAACTCCAGACAGCGCTTATCAGCTTGTATTTTTTCTTTTGCGTCCGTTGAGTTTCTGAGATTACTCGCTGCTCAAAAAAGTGATGTTGTGCCTTATACTTTATGACACATCTCGACAGTGAAAGTAAAGCCTTTTTTATTAGTTAATCGGGTTTAACCCAGTCGATTGTATATACCGAGTTGATTAATGTATTCTAACTGTGCATTCCTTTGATGGCGTGCCGAAGAAAATTATGAAGGCTGAACGCGAAGAGTTTGCGATTGACTGATTCGGATCACCCTCGTCTTTCTTGGTACTCTTTCCGACGAGCAAAATGTATTGAATCTATCACATCTATATCAATATCCTTCTGCTGCCATGTTATTCGGAACGTTGTCTTGATCTTGTCTTCACCGTGCAGTAAGGAAGTTTTTCGTGTTAACTTTCGAGTTGTCAGTCAAGTCTGCTTTAGTTTACAGGATGCTTTTTTTTCTCGCCAATATTACCATTTGAATAACGTTTCTTTCAGGCAGACCTTGATGGCGTGCGTACAGGTCTACTGGACACACCTTCTGATCATGCAGCTTGTACGTTCAAGATTTAGACTAGACGTTCGTGCCGTATGTTTCGCAAGAAAGATCCTACTACATAGAGCGGCACGTTATTCGTGTTTCTTATTATGAGACTTCCGAGTTCACCGTAGAGGTACACTTCAACGTAAAAAAAAAAAGAACGGATTATGCTGATCACAGTTAATGATGTCCACGCACGCAAGCAAAGTGCTACTTGTGATCGCTTAGCAGTTGGTATTGAAGCGTGCTGCGGATCGAAGTGGGAATTTGGTAGGGCACCGTGGCGAGAGCAGAAAAAAACTAGGGACACGGTAAGAAAGTATTAGGAGTTTCATGCTGGAACATAGCGCTAACCAGCCAGGCTCGACTCTGGTTAGCATCTCTGGCATTATTTCATCCTCTCCCACTTCCTGAATTCAGCCTCATACAGAAAACCACGTTGTCTCGAATGCACAATCAAAGGTGGAGAGTTTGAATCCCACAGACGGCAAAGGCGTAGCTCAAGAAACGAGTTTATCTTCCAAGCACTTGGGGTCCAGAACTTCCGCTTTTTAATATGATTTTCGAATAAGCCAATGTTTGTCGTACGAAAAGCATTGAAACAACATTACTTTATTTTCTACAGGATGTTGTTTATAAGTAGACTCTGAATTACTCTTATTTTTCGCCGCAGAACTTTGTGATATCGAGTAGTCGAGGCAATAGACACCTCAATCTCTCCACAGCAAAACAGTAAAAACAGAACAGAACAGAACAGACTCTGAATTAAGAAAGAGATAATTATTTGTTTTGCTTTATAAAGTGTCATTTTGCGTTTCGCACCTCGTAGTCAAAGTGGTGCCTCCGTCTTAGGCGAGCACACGTCACCCTCCAGCTAATCCAATGACTCACCGAAGGACCTGTGTCAAATTTCACTCACAAACGGCTGTTAAGCAGACGGAGCAATTTCTATGCTGTCAGAATATTCGATTACAGCCGTCATTTGAAATGCGAGCCTAACCGGACTACTTCGCGGAAAATTACATACAATTACAGGTTACTGAGAAGCCGTCCCGTTAATGTTGGAACTGTAGGTTATTTTTTGAGGTAGTGGTAATACAAATATATTGGTGCATTCCCAGTCACCACAAGGTTCTACTTTAGGGCTCATCTAGAGAACGCATGATTTTCTCATGAGAAGCTGGGATTGTTGCCGCACCTTAATAATATTTGGGGTTTAACGTCCCAAAACCACCATATGATTATAAGAGACGCCGTTGTGGAGGGCGCCGGAAATTTCGACCCCCTGGGGTTCTTTAACATGCACCCTAATCGGAGCACACGGGTCCACAGCATTTTCGCCTCCATCAAAAATGCAGCCGCCACAGCCGGGATTTCATCCCATGACCTGCGGGTCAGCCGCCGAGTGCCTTAGCCACTAGACCACCATGGCGGGTCTGTGGCGGCATCTTGTGCAGCGGATCTCAACCAAGAGCTCTTTTTTACGTGGCCTCCGAGATGCGCTTCGGCAGTGCGTTGAAACACAAGCTAATATGACAAATTGGAGAGAATACGAAAGCCGCAATGCGAATGGCACTGCCCGACACCCAAATCAAGGATCAAGTACTTTTTTGTCTACTTTACTTCGTCAACATTTTAGGGGCGAAGCACCTTAGAGTTGAGCCTTTTTCCTGCGATGTCCGTTTTCCTGGCTTGCACGCGCTCGTAGCGCCGGCCACGAGTGGCGCGATCGTAGGTAGAAGAGGAGAAGGATGATCGGGGGTGCTGTCGTGACACGCTGTTTCTCTCGCCGCGGCGCCCCAAGAGCTATTAAACGCACTCGCTCCCGGCTCTCTCTCTCTCATAGCCACAGAATGCACTTCGGTAATAAAGAAAGAAAAAAATAAAGTGAGAAGAAAGAAAGAAAGAAAGAAATAAAGAATGAGTGAATGAATGAATGAATGAATATAATGAATGTACGGGAGGTAATAATCTCCCAGAGCTTCGCCCACTTGCCATCATTCACTTTGTGGATACGCTTTACTTTTTGTGCCGCTTGTAATACAGTATATTTCAAAACTGCAAATATTATACTTTATTTTAATGGCTTCGTTATCTGTCAATTTTGTCATGTTGTATCTAACAAAGAAACAAGCTCCTGGAACAATTCACCAGTTTTTGCACATAGCGAGGTGAGGTATTCCACACCTATTGTTTATCGTCCTCACAGGGCAAATACAGCGTGCACTTTAGGAAGGCTTGCACAAAACACGCACGCACGCACGCACGCACGCACACACACACACACACACACACACACACACACACACACACACACACACACACACACACACACACACACACACACACACACACACACACACACACACACGCACACACACACGCACAGAACAGGCGCTGTGTGTCGTATTTTATATTACTATTTTATTTTCCTAGTTTTCGGTGATGTCAAGAAATTCGGTGAATTAAGGACTGCGAGGCACGTAAGCACAAAGGAAGAAGATAATTGATAGACAGGCACCAGCGATATGCCTCACGTTCTATTTCTATGCCGGCATCGTAGTCTTTAGTGATGCCTTGAACAAGGACGAAACAGAAAGTGAGGCACGTAAGCACAAAGGCGAAGACTAAAATTAAAAGAAAGCCCGACTAGAAATGAAGCACCACGCAGCTGGGATGTGCCTTGTGTTATATTCTATTTGTATGACCGTATTCTACTGCACAGTGGTGCCTAAAACTCTCAAGGCTAATACGAAATAATCAGTAAGTGAGGCATGTAAGCATAAATAATGAAGTACATGAAGATAAGACGAAGCACCAGCGCTGTGCCTCGTGTTCTATTCTATTTCTATGCATTCATTCCAGCGATCTCTAGAACCCTTGAAATGAGTACGAAACAGTGAGCAAGTGAGACACGTGAGCACAGAGAACTAAGACTAAGAAGAGACAGCCAGTCAGATATGCAGTGCCAGCAGTAACAGCCAGGATTCGGATCGTGGGTAGCCACATCGTTCACGCCAGAATGCCACAGCGCGCACGCAAATGCAGGAGGCAAGGAGAAAACAAGCCAACGCGCAAGGCAGTACTAGCCAAGCCAGTGGTCGCTAAAGGCGAGTGGTGCGGTGCGTACGTGCGTAACTACTGGAGGAACGTGCCAACGGGCCAAGATACGAACTAAGGGGAGACTGATGCTGGAAAAGGGGGAAGCGGGATATGGTGTGCGGGTTGTTGGGTGTAGAGGGTGGGTGGGGAGGTGTGAGGGAATAAAGAAAGGCGTTTGGAGAGGGGCTTACTTGGCTCGGGAGGCTGTTTCTCGATCGAATTGGTGGCGCGGCGGACTTCGCGGTTCAGAGCGAAGTCCGCACCGAAGTGCGCTCGGCAGAATTCGAAGGGGTCCGTCTCGGCGGATGTGCCGCTTGGGACGGTCTCCTCACCTGCCGGGAGGGGAGGGTGGGAGACCCAGACAGCTCAGCACCGGTTTTTTGTCTACCGTGCTTGCTACACGAATGATGAAACATCACTAGAGTAAGCTTTACTGGATTACTAGTATAATTTGAGATAATGTAGGCTGATGATGGCCTATTCACGATGTACCAACCATACGTCGGGGAACTTACTCATGAGTCGACTTACTCCAACTTACTCAGATTCAGATTAATTAAGTCGTGATCGTGAGTCTGAGTGAGTCCGGGTGACTAATATTTTGTTGAGCTTGAGGCCGAGTGAGTGCGGTTAATACCATTTTATGAGTGTGAGGCCCAGTTAGTCCAGCTCAGGAATCTTTTGATGAGTCTTGCAGCTCCTGTGAGTCCAAAGCGCAAGATATACTTGTTGAGCTGAGTATGAGTGAGCTCAATTTTTTTTACCAGTGTTATGGCCCCTATGGTGAGAAACCAGTAGCTCTCAAATGGGGCTCGTGGACTTCAGGATGTCCACGGAACCCATTGTTCAATCAAGACACCCTTTTCGAGTCACGCACTATCACTTAACAACTGATCCCTTTTAATTTTCGTTATGTTCACCGCATAACATTTACGATTGCAGGCGAACTGACTGATGTGCCCCTCTCTTCTGTGAGATAGTTGTAAGGATCTTTGTGGCAGTTTTCTGCGACATAAGCGCGTGAGCACACTTTTACTAGGCTTGCATATTTGAAGAGCAAATCTAGCTAGGAACAGATTGAATGTAGTTGCAGACTGCGCAGCTTATCGATTACCTGTTGATATGGAATTGGCATGGATTATTAGTTTGACCATTCTTTACCAGGGAAAAACAAGGAACTCCTATTGTACGCTGCATATTGTGTTAATTCATGACCACCTATTTCTTTTCTGTCACTGCTGGGCGTCTACCATCCTTTCTACGGTTCGAGGAGTCCAAGAAACGTTCCTAGACGTACAAAATTGAGGAATCATTCATTTAGCAGCCACAGGGGATCACACTCACGTCTCTTATGTAAAATAGTCTACGAAATGAAGGGTTTTGACCATCGTTTTCTGAAAATTGTTCCCGTTTGTTCGTTATTTGGCCGATAAAAAGTTTTATAGCTTTAACAAATTCTTAGATGCCATACACAGACGCCTGAGAGCCGGAGATGTTCCTGGCATTTGAAAAATGTGGTATTAAAATGCTGGGACCATTAGTAATACCAGCGTGCGGCTGTATTCAGTGCTAAATCGATAAAAAAACGTCGCGTCTCTTAGGCGTGTAACCTTGACCTTACAAAGCCATGTCTCGCTTCGCTGGAAGATCCGGAATGATCAAAGGATATATGAATCTCACGGCCTACAACACGACGTATTCAATATGAGAGCGTCACATTGCGTAAGGTGTTCTATTCGTCTAGATAGATGCACGTTCCCTTTAAATCAGCCTTTGAAGTCACTAGGGAATTGGTATAAGAGATGGGAAAAATATATCAGCTACGGAGGAGATACTTTTGTGTGAAACGATTCAGCAAGAATGGGTTCGCAGAAAAGATGCAGCACAAAGACCTCTAACGTGCGAGTGGGGTGACATTATGTAGAGTTTCACGGATGGCGTGGAGCAACAATCACCCAGTTTCCGAACTAAAAAAAAGAATGAAACCATAAGAAATTAAACTATGCACTAGCCTTGGGTGGATATGAATGACTTTTTCCGACACATTTATGCACTGTTTTGAAGTGGGGACATCGCCTTGCAGTTAGGGTCTATATTCAAACGCTAGAAGTAGCGCAAGCCTTTACGTCAATCCTATATGAGCATTACCCACGCCGAAAGATGTGCACGTTCCTTGTTGATGTGATAAATATTCTGCATTATAACAGGCAGTTCAGCGTTGCAATGTATGTATGTATGTATGTATGTATGTATGTATGTATGTATGTATGTATGTATGTATGTATGTATGTATGTATGTATGTATGTATGTATGTATGTATGTATGTATGTATGTATGTATGTATGTATGTATGTGTGTATGTATGTATGTATGTATGTATGTATGTATGTATGTATGTATGTATGTATGTATGTATGTATGTATGTATGCATGTATGTTTGTATGTATGTATGTATGTATGTATGTATGTATGTATGTATGTATGTATGTATGTATGTATGTATGTATGTATGTATGTATGTACGTATGTACGTATGTACGTATGTATGTATGTATGTATGTATGTATGGATTATACCTTAAGGCTTTCACATTACAGAGGGAATCTATCTATCTATCTATCTATCTATCTATCTATCTATCTATCCTAGCCTATCTATCTATCTATATATCGATCTATCTATCTATCTATCTATCTATCTATCTAATCTGTCTCATCTATCTAGTTCTAATCCGATCTATCATACTATCTATCTATCTATCTATCTATCTATCTATCAGCTATCTATCTATCTAGCTATCTATCTATCTATCTATCTATCTAGCTATCTATCTATCTATCTAGCTACTATCTCTCTATCTATCTAATCTATCTATCTATCTATCTATCTAGTCTAGTCCCTAGTCCGTATGTCCGCCTGTATCTATCTATCTATCTATCTATTCTATCTATCTATCTATCATCTATCTTATCTATCTATCTATCTATATCTATCTATCTATCTATCTATCTATCTATCTATCTATCTATCTATCTATCTATCTATCTATCTATCTATCTATCTATCTATCTATCTATCTATCTATCTATCTATCTATCTATCTATCTATCTATCTGTCTATCTATGTACATCATATACCTAAATAGAGTGCGTTTACCTAAATACATTGCTTTGCCCGGATATGTGATATTTTCTGAAGGATGTTCTGACTTTTTGTGTAATGGTAAAACGACGACTGCTTCAAAATGTGGTCAGTTGTTGTATTGCAAGTCCTAACAAGTAAAACATCCTATGTATACGCTCTAGCTGTAAATTAATCACAACGTCTCTCTGTTTCTGACGCTTTGTCTACTCTGGCGTCATGGTTATTTTAGGCCACGTGGTTTGAATATCACGTGCTTTTTTATGCCTATTACAGTGCACTATACGTTACGTTTTTTAAAAGCATTACGGTATCTCTGTGTGTTTTTTGTACTCTAGAATACCCGAGAAAGGCAGATGTACTTGCTTTTTGAATTACTACTGTAAGTGATGATTTTCTTCATTTTATAGCAAAAGCGGTTATGAGACCACAATATGGGTCATGCATGGCACCATAATTGTCCGCCACTGCTGCCTGTGACCAATCATGCACGAAATAAACAAATTTTAGTTAAGACCACCAAAAATACGATGTGATTCAAACCTAGATCCTCTGCGTACCAGCCCAGTATTCAACCGCTGATTGCTTGGGACTGGTTGGCACACTTGCCTTAGGCAGGCATTATGTCGGGAAAAGAATCGCGTTACTATAAGGAATAAAACGTTTTAGAACAGCAAGGGAAGCATAGGCGTCACACAATGCGAATTGCGTAACGAGGGGGTCATCGAACGCTCCCACCCATTAGAAAAGCTTGTTCTTCATCAACTGCGGCATATACCCACATTAGGCGTAATTCGTCCTCGTCGTCAGCCACTTCATGAAAAAGAAACTTCGAACGAAATTCATGGTAACTCTTTAGCAGATACCACGCTTCTTTGAAGAATGACTAAGGATGGCACAGTGAATGCCTGCCTATTACAAAAATAATAATGGCAAAGAGGGTACACTGCAAGTGTGCTTGCAGCAGCTACTCAAGAAGTGTTAAAAAAAAGACTCTTAAAGGCCGCTCTTATAGCTTTCTATGTCACAGTGATGCACGTTCAGTGCAAAGCTAGCGGCTTTTTTTCTTACTTTTTTGCAAGTCTAAAAATGTTTGAAATATTCAAATATAGGCAACGTAGTTTTGTGTTGTATCCAGCTTTGCTGTTAATTTAGAACGCGTCGATATTGGCTGTCGCAGTATAATAGTTTAGAGTTCATAATAATGATAAGAAGAAATTGGAAATTTCTTAGACCGATGTTTTAGGACACAAGACGGCCGTAAATTTTGGGAAGAAGGCTCGTAGAGTAATCTGTTTTTTTTTCTCAGTAGACCTATTGATCCATCCCCAGCCTTGTAATTGACATTCAAGCCCTAATGGAGATTCGCATTGCCCCCAAGACTGGTAGCATTGCAAGATTTTTGCGCCCTCTTCTGCTTTTGCATGACCTCCGTGATCAGACCACTTGCGGTGAAGCGATGATGTCATAAGATCATGACACCGCGTTACGTGATAACGTTATAGTGAAGTGCAAAATTTTGGTTATCTGCGATCTCACAATGACGTGGTAAGGTGACGTCATCACGCGATGGTCAAGTTTTGTGTCCCTCGTGTTGACGCCGTTGAATCGCGACGCTACCTGACGCGGCCGACGCCTAGCGGTGAATTTGCGCATGTAATGAGGCCTCTAACAGTTTTGTCTTAGTAATGAAGTCTCGTACTATACTGGTGCCAAGTCGGAATGAAGGGCGGCGCTGGGCAGCGCGCCTTGTTTCTTTGTTTTCCTTCCTTCTTTCTCTCTTCCGTTTCTTCTCCTCTGTTTTTTTTCTATTTCGTTCTTTTTCTATTTATTCATTGCTTTCCATTTTTTTCCTATTTCTTTCTTTTTCAATTTTCGCTTCCTATTTTTTTCTTTCTCTCTATCTTTTTCTCTTTATTTTCTTACTTTTTCTGGAGGTTTCTTTCACTCTTTATTCTCTTTCTCTTTGTATTCGCTCTCTTTCGCATCCGAGTTATTGCATGCCGCACTGTTCTAATCGGCGGCGCACGTGCTTGGGAGGTGAAGCAGAATTAGAATGAAGATTTTCATCAATCTAATACAAACAGCTCCGAAGTTGAAACACAATACTTACGCACTGCCCGATGCTCTAGCGCGCACTCCGTAATAATAACTTGTAACACATAACATCCAAAAAAAAAACTTGATA